AAAAAGAAAAGAAAAGATGTTTATTTATTTATTGTCCTATATATGTATATATATTTTGTCTATGGTAAACTTATACGATTGTATGTTGTGAGAAGTGCTCCGCCTTAACATCAGGGTCGACACTCTCCGCGTATTTTCTTATAAGTCATTATCACATAATTTGAGTCTAATTCTAATCTTCAAATATGCCTCTTCATTGTTTTATTAATTATGTCGTTAGCGTATTTTTCGATGATGAACCTGTATGATTGTATGCTGTGAGAAGTGTTCCGCCTTAACATCAGGGTCGACACCCTCCGCAGATAGTCAAATAGGTTAAAAATCACACAATTAGGTCTAATACGTCTGAATACATAACTCAGAAATGATAATTAAATTCAGTAATAACTCAGCCTTATTCATGGTATCTGTTTTCTATTCGTTATTGTATATCTGACACATCTCATCAGTCTGATGTCCTTAACACAGTCAATGTCAGCTTACTTTCATCAATCTACCTTTATACTTAAGAAAAGTAGCCAGAGAATCTTGGGTATATCACATTATTTATCAACGACAATCACTAATTCGTATTCATCATATCAATCTGTCTCTTCCTATCTATATATCTAACTTAGGTTCACGTATTTCATCATTCTATTATTGTTTGTATATATATATATGATGAATATGATCTTTCCAATCAATCCTGTCGTTTTCTCTTTTATTTTATTTTGTCAGTAAAACTCAAACTCATTCATCTACTCAATCTCATCAAGCGTTCATATCAATATTGCTTTTCTCTTACACACATTTTCTAACATTAATTCAGTCTCAATTATTTCACATTCTGATGAATATTGCTTTTATCTTACTTATTTGGTCTACAGAACTCAGTCTCACTCATCTACTTTATCTCATTGAACATTCGTATGAATATTGCTTTTCTCTTGCTTAGATGATTAATAAAATTCAAACTTACTCATCTACTTTATCTCATTGGACATTCGTATGAATATTGCTTTTCTCTTGCTTAGATGATTAATAAAATTCAAACTTACTCATCTACTTTATCTTATTGAATATTAATAAAAATACTACTTTCCTTTTTATACATTCGCAACAACGTCTGGAATATCAACAGCGTGTCAACAACGAAGTCAACAGCGTTACAAACTTTCTCACAACAATGAACATACTATTTTATCTATGTACATGTTTATGTAATTTCTTGGTTTTACACAATAATAATAATAAATATTTCACAATGTCAGTCCTGATGATGTGCTCTGTCAGAGTACGAAAGCTCGAATCCTCATCTTTTATTTCTGCATGAAATAAGCCTTTCTCATGATCTTTGCGGCAGTTTTATCTTTCTTTTCTTATGTCTATCTAACGGTATTACCAGACACCTGACCGATCCCTTCGATTTGATTTCACTGCATTCTCACCATGTCAAAAGAAGATATATAAGTTTACAGCGCTTGAGCGACATCTATTCCTGTATTTCGCGAATGACATTTTATCTACTAGAACTATTTTACTTCTTTTTTTTGCCACAATCCTTTCAAATATATCAAAGATTGTTCAAATAAAAAATTCGGCAGATGCGTACTTCATTGGCCATTGTGTTCAGTCCACACTGTATCAAAAAATATATCATGGACTGTCGACCGTTGTTTAATGTTGAATCGCTTTTCAATTCAATCAGTTCATTAAGCATGTGAAAAGATTCGTTCTACTTCTCTTCGAAACTGAAAAGACAAAACGCGCGTTAATTAACTATCGAGTTCGCTGTCTTCTTTTTTAGATCACACACGTGTACATTGTCTTCTGAACTGATTTTATTAAATTGACCCGTTGGAAACAATGCCTAAACGTGGCTCTTCTACATCAGGTATTAATTCAAGTGTGCCACATAAAAAATCCAAGAACTCTGAGTCGACTAATGGTCATTATGATGAAAATACTCCATTTAATCAAAGCAGTTATTCAACACAATTATCTGAGAAAGGTCCTGATGTAAGTTTTTATCTTTATGATTTGCAAGAGCAATCAATAGTTTATTTTCTATTAGTTGCATAAAAATGCTGGTAGTATCTTACGAATCAGCGTGAAAAATTTCATGTGTCACACATTTCTTGAATTTGATTTTAACGAAAATCTCAACATGGTCATCGGAAACAACGGCAGTACGGATTGAACGAATGTGATTTCTCTCTTCAAGAAATTTTCTGTTTTAGGTGGCAAATCAGCAATTATGAATGCTATTACATTGACTTTAGGTGGTCGTGCAACAAGCACAAGTCGCTGTTCAAATATCGGCCGTTTTATTCAACATGGTAAAAGGTAAAATCGAACGAAATCGGTTCTGTTTCATACATCTGATCATTTTAGCATGGCTGAAATCTCTGTTGTTCTATGTAATCAAGGTCTCGAAGCAATCGACGTTGAACGTTTTGGTCGATCGATTACTATTATTCGAAAATTTTCCGTCAAAAGCGGTAGCCGTTATATGATCAAGAATGAATATGGTAAGATTTGCCATTTCTTTCGTTTGATATAAATGAAAAATCATTTGATTTTACATAATAGGTAAAACTGTATCGGATAAGAAAGATATGATCGAAACAATCGTTGCACATTTCAATATCCAAGTTGATAACCCCATGTGTATGCTTAATCAAGATACTGCAAAGAATTTTCTTAATACAAAGAGTACTAAAGAAAAATACAACGTGAGATTGTGGAGATAATCGAAGTGAAAATTACCTTTCAGTTGTCTTTACTTTTCAGTTCTTTCTAAAAGCAACACAGTTACAAAAGATGGTTGATGATCTCGAACAAAATACGATTGAAGTTCGCAACGCTAAACTTTCACTGACGGAGCATTTGAAAGTAAAGTGAAAACAATTCTACAGCAACATTCACGAAAATGTGTTTGTTCATAGAAAAGAAAAGAACTTCAGGCACAGCAAGAAGATCTGCAAGCTCAACTGAAATTTGCTCAATCAGTTCGAGATGCTAAATCCAATGCTGAAAACCTTCAAGGTCAACTTGAATGGGCCGAAGTAGTCAAACTTGAACATGTGAGTTCTAAGTTTCTCGATTTCTTGTTTAAAAACACGGCGTTGTTCATTTTTAGACATTGGCAGATATCGAAAAGAAAGTCGTCGAATGTGGATTTGCTGTTGAAGAATATACAAAAAAACGTGATGCCTTGATCGTATGTTAACCTCGGTCTGATTGAGCTTGCTGAAATCGTTTCTTGTTGGTGTTCATAGGAAGATACGAAAAACGAAAAAACCAAACGCGACGAATTACTTCGTAAAGCACAAGAAGTGGCAAATACTGCTATTGAAGAAAAACGTGTTCATGATGAACTCGAACGACGAATGAAGACGTTCAATAAAGATCGAAGAGATTTGTTGAATGAAGTTAACAAATTTGAGAAAGAACTGCAATTACAAGTGGAATTGAAGAAAAAACTTCAGAACAAAATCGCCGAAATGCGTCGAAAGTAAAAGCAGTTCTTTGATTGTTTTCGCGTGTTCATAATAAAACTCATTTAGAGCATCGGGTAACACAGATTACGACCGAGTTCGTCAACGTATTGAGGAATTACAAGCGTTAGTCGCTGAACAGCGACAAATCTTATCAATGAAAGAAAGTGAACAAGCTAATTTCCGACAATTGTATGACGACGAACGACAAGCATTATTTGATGATCAAACAGCCGTCAAACAACATGAAGAATCTTTACGGAAACGCCGAGGACATATTCAACAATTGAAAGCAGCGAAACAAGATCGGGTGACTATTTATGGACGATATACATTAGCTATTTTGAAAGAAATCGAAAGACAAGCACATCGGTTTAAACAATTACCGATTGGACCCGTTGGTAAGACTGAAACCGAAGGAGATCCTCGAATACTTGAAACGAAAAAATGTCGTTTTTTTCTTTCAGGCAGACATATTCAACTCATTGATCGTAAATGGGCGGTCGCTATTGAGCAAGCAATTGGAAATATCATACCCAGTTACCTTTGCTCATGTCGTGAAGATGAACGAGTTTTTCTCGAAATTCTTTCACGATGTGTACCTCCACAAGACATGGACTATCGACCAAGTGTTACTGGTAAGAAGGACATATTTCTTATCGATGATTTGTTTGAACATTGATTTCTAGTGATGAAATTTCAATCGACCGTTTATCAACAACTTCGAGTAATTATCTTTGCTGATTTCTTACGGATTAGAATTGGGTTTTATTTTCTAGACACCACCAGGAAATTTCACGACAATTTTATCCATGCTGAATATCGATAATCCAACAGTCGCATGCTTTCTCATCGATCAGGTTTGTCACGATCTGTGAATTTCGCTTCTATTCAATCATGCATCGATATTCTAGGGTCGCGTTGAACAACGAATCTTAATGGATAATTATGAAACTGCTCGTCGTATTATGGAGAAGAGTGCACCGCCCAACTGCATTGCTGTATGTGTCTGTTTCTTACTCGCCTACTTGAATTTCTTTTGTTTCATTTCAGGCGTACCTTCCCAATGGTACCGAAATGCAAAATTTAAATGTATTTCGTTGTTACACATGCAAAAGTCAAGGGCCACGATATTTTGTCGAAGATCTTGGCGAACAAATCATGTAGGGTCGACGAAGCATTTTGAGATTCTCTTCATAGAGTGCTTCTGTTTGTTTATCTAGTCGTGGAGAAAAAGAATGTGCGACGATTGAACGACAAATTCTCGAAGCGAAGGAGAAACTAAAGGAAACTCAAAAACGAGTTAGCGAACATCAACAAACCGTGGTTTCACTAGATGAAACTATAAACGAAATCAAATCGAA